ACAATTAATGTACCAGAGGTAGTGTCGGAAAACCAACACCTCTTATCCCAATGAAAATCATCAATCGAACTATAGGGGGTTGGGGAGTCCCCGTGCAGTTCGAGCCTTATTGAGGCTCAACCGTATTGAAAATTATGACGTGATGTTTCTGATGGAAACTTAGCTCAAAGTAGAAGAGTTTTAGGCTATTAAAGTTAGGAGTGGTTTCGAATTTTGTCACATTATGGACTACAGTGGTTCGGGTAGAGAGAGGGTCAAGGGTCTGGTTCTTCTTTGGAAGGAAAAGATTCAAATCAACATTGTCTCTTTTTCTTCAAATCACATAGGAGGATCAGTGGTGGATGAGACTGATAATGAGGATTGGTTTTTCAGTGGGATTTACAGTTTTCCTGAGGAACACAACAAGAGGAAAACTTGGGCGTCCAAGATATGGTGCGAATGAGTGGCAAAAGATTCTTTGCTTTGGGGATTTTAATGATATTTTGTTTGATCACGAAAAAAAGGTTGAATTAACAGAACTTCAAGTCAGTTTTCTTGAGGGCTTCAAACTATGGATCTTTGTGGATTAACAGACTTGGGGTTCAAGGGGTACCCTTATACTTAGACAAATTGAAGGCTTGAAAATAACAATGTTGAGTGAAGTTTAGATAGGAGTTTGGCTTCTGATTATTTTATTAATAGGTTTTCTCCCATCAGAGTGAACCATTTGTCTCGTTATGGTTCAGACCATCCTGCAGTCAGTACTGAGCTGGAAGTTGACACATGTAGGAGCATTAGGAAAATAAGGAACATATTCAGGTTTAAATAAGTGTGGAGTAGAGACTCTAGATTTGAGAAGTTTATGGATCAGTTATGGAATAACTATTTAACTAGGGGTTATAACAAGTTGATTCTAATGCAAGGCTTAAATGATCTTTTCAAGGAATATAATATTGGAACTGTTATTAAGGAGATCAAAAGGATCGAAGAGATGTTGAAGGATGACTACAGTTGGGATGCTATTAATACCTACAAGTATTTTGAAGGTCAAAGGAATAACTTGCTCCAAGTTGAAGAAGTCATATTGACGCAACGAAGTAGGGCTCTTTGGCTTAAGCATGGTGACAAATACTAAGTTTTTTCACGAGAAGGCAGATCAAAGAAGGAAAACTAATGTTATTAAGAAATTAAAGACGACAATGAGTGTTGGTGGAAAGGTGTTGTACCCCAAAATTTTCCCTCTCATTTCTCAAGAAATTTCTCACAAGATCTTCCTTGAACCAAGTTTGAAGCATTGATACATCAATTTGGGTTGAATTGGCACAAGGGTAAAATGGTCAAAATGCTTACTGAAAAGTCAAACTTTGACTTTTTGATCAAAATCAAGTTTCAAGAGTCATGTTTCATCAAGACATGTTAGAATATGAAGTTTGTTTCTTCAAGAAAGTCAAAAGTCAAATTTGCTTTGAAAAAGTCAAAATTCTAAACACTTAGAAATTTTTCTAAGTGTTAAGAAATATGACAAGTTCAGAACTTCTGGCCGGATTTTTACCATGATGCAAGCTGATTTTAGAAAAACTTATGACACAAGAGTTGTAGATCTCAATGAGATCTAAAACATTGTTGAACATAACTTCTCCTGGAAATGCTGGAATTTCAAGTTATACATCCTTGAAGACACGTCCATGAAACTAAAACACTTAGTAAATTCTGAGCATTTTCAAATCAGAATTTGGCTACAACTTCAGGGCCAGTTTTTTTTTCACGTAGGTTCAGTCGGAATTTGCAAGACGTCCAAAGAAGGTCCACAAAGCGTGTTATAAGATTTCTGGAAAGTCTGAGAACTCCTTCAGAACATGCTGGAGCAGGGAGATTCAAAGATCAGAAGTTAGATATTTGTTTTAACTTACGTTGATGCTGAACTTCTGATCCATACTTAAGTTATGATGCATAATCTCATATTGCAGGTTTTTTGTTTTGATAAATCTCATCATCATTTAATGCTCACATCCACTTTTGAGTCTTTATCCAAAGGATTTCCCCACGTGTGGCATAAAAGTACCATTGATGTCCTTGAAAAGCAAACTTTTGTACAAAGTTTATGCTGGGCCCATGCTTTAATTTTGCTTCTGAGGGTACTTTTCCATAAATCATTCTTACAAATTCAGATTAAGCACGGCTAAAAGCTGCTAACCACCCTACTTTATGCCTTGAACCATACTTGTTTAAACTTGCTTCAAGAACAAGTCAGCGCCATAGCATATGATGGTTGTACTCTTGACCTCTTCAAGCTCCTAAATCCTTGCCTATAAACTGAACTTCATTTGCAACTGTTAAAGAGGTCGAAGATTTGAGAAAAAAACCTTGAAACCTTGCTGAAATTTCAAAGAACTTGAAACTGCAAACATAAACACAAAAACTTGCTAATTTATGATTTTTTTTGCATCCAAGCTCTAATTTTCCTTGTGCATTTCCCAATCAAATCACCCACACAGCTTTTGATATAAATTTAGAAGTCGTCCCAACTTCTGTTTACAGACTGTAATACAATCTCCACCAACCTCCATTTCAAAAAATCATACTTTTCTTCTTGGCTGCTCCAGAACATTACAGCCATTCATAACTCAAGTTAAGGTTTGCTTTGGCTTTCTGGGAACGTGAGAAGTTGACCAGAACATCACAGCAATCACCAGGCTCTAGTTCACAGAACATTTTCCAGTTGCAAGGTAAGCTTCTGCTGACTTTTATCACATTACTTAGGCATTGTTAGGCTTGCATTTTCAAAAAGTACAATGTAGACATCCTGACTCTGATTTTGTACATATTCATAGATTTCATGTATTTTTGCCTAAGTAGAGAGAATTTCAATTCAGAACATCTTGAGGAAATTAGGATTCAAAATTAGGATTAGAAAAATTCATGTTTGCTTCTGATTTATAGTTCTGATACTTTATATTTTTGAAACCATGATGAAACTTGTCATAACTGCTATGTTTGCATTTTTTGTTTTGATGAGAAATGGCTAAGTTGCAGATGCTCTGACTGGCATAGAGAAGGAAATGAAGTTAATCATCAGAACTTACTTTGTGTTATATGTTTATGTTTTTGTTTCTAATACCAGATGTATAGCCACCCCAATGGTAGAGAATGAATGCTTAAAACATTACTGTTAAGGGTCCTGAGTTCTAGCCCCAGAAACACCTTTTTATGTTTATTTCCTGACACTTTTATCCCATTAGTTGGACCAGAACTTCTAGATCAACCCCCTTTATTTGCTCATCAAAACAGTTACTCTGGACCAGAACTTCTAGATATCTCCATCCACCAGTGTTGACACCTCACCTACCCATTACCAGAATTTCTAGCTTGTCAGTAACATTAGGACTTCTAGGTTTCCATTTACATTATAACCTCTAAACTCACTCAAACAACCAGAACTTCTGACCTACCAATGACATCAGAACTTCTAGACTCCCTCAGCAATCATAACTTCTAGGATTTCCTTTGTTCCCAGCGACCCCAGAGCTTTAATGCGTTCGGATCCAGAACTCCTGGCCTTCCCCTTTTATGCTAACATTTTCTTTCTGATTTGCAGCGCGTTAGAGTCATAGTTTCTTCCCTTTACTTCTGTCCTTTCAGCAATGCGCTGATTCTGATTCTTTTCCCTTTTATTATTTTTAATATCACTTCTATTTTCATTAATCAAAAAAACACCAAAAATATTTTTATGTTCACACACTTTATTTTATTTCTTTTGAAACAAAAAGACTAAAAATATTTTCTTAAGACAATTCATTTCTTCTCTTAACAAAAACAAAACAAGTCCATTTTACATTTCTTGTACATTATTTCAATATAGTTGTAATAGATAATTAGGATTTTAATTTCTTGCAATCCCCATTTGTAAATTTGTACACCTCATCCCCCTAATGATTGTAATAGCGTATAATATTTATCTTCCGCAATTTATCGCTTTCATATAAATGCTAGTAAAGTAGGATTTGTATGGGAAGATAAAATCAACAAGTACACAACCTTTGATCAAAGGCTAAATGCATGCAAATCAAACACATTATTCACCCATTCGCCCCTAGGGTAATTCCACTTGTTGCCTTATAAAAAATGATCATGTTATGCATGTGAGGTATCTTATCAAAAACAATCAAAATACAAGATCATAGTCCCCTGATGACGCTACGAATGTTGCCTTACAAATGATCTTATCCCCTTAAGAGAAATGCTAATACATCTCACAACATTTCTATCATGACTATATGATGACCCACGCCCGTCCCTTTTACATCCCAAGATAAGGCTTCTTACCAATCAATGGTAAGATAGCAACATCTAAAGGAGGAGGAGAAGAACAAGAGACTTTTGAGTAGGTAGAAACGTTCTTAGTTGCTTTCTCATTTTCAAAACAAACATCCTTTTAAATACACACTAAACATTTTCAAAACATGAAATATTTTAAAAAGTCCAACACTTTGTATACATTATTATAAAGACAAGAATCATTACAAAGTTTGCCTAAATGAAGGCGCTTTTCACAAATACTTTCAAAAACCACCACAAAGCACATTTTCAAACAAAGGCAATGATCTAGCAAGCAACTAAGAGCCCATAGATAACTATGGATGAAAAGGATGCTAATACCTTCCCTTTTCATAATCTACCCCCCCCCCCCCCCCCGAACTCAAGAAATAATCTCAAAGGTCTTTCCTGTTCTTTCCATCCTTTCCTTTATTGGATAAAAGAAAAGTCGGTGGCGACTCTTTCTATCCGCAACAATTGCGATAAAACGGAAAACATCCTAAGTCAGTTCTCCCACTGTATTAAAAAAGGCAATGAACATTGTGAAAGAATTTGGATAACCTATTTCTTTGATTTTTTTTGCCTCATCTATACCTACTAATATCTAGGAGGTTTGTCATGTTTTGAAAGGGAGACTTCAGCCTTCCCACATCACCTGGTGTAAAGGAAAGTTTACTCCCCAAGAAGTGAAGGAAGCTTTGTTTCAAATGCACCCTCTTAAGGCACCTGAACCTGACGGTCTTCCAACTCTTTTTTTTTCAAAAATATTGGAACATTATTGGTTCTGAAGTTACTATGCTGGTTCTCGATGTCATTAATAACAACTAAGATCCCAGGATGTTGAACAACACTCACATTTCCATGATTTCGAAGTGCAAAAGCCTTTCAAGCCCAAAAGATTTATGCCTGATTAGTTTATGTAATGTGGTGATGAAGGTTGTCACGAAGCAATTACCAACATAATAAAACACATTCTTCCTGAAATTATTGATGAGGAGTAAAGTGATTTTTTGAAATGTCATTTAATCATGGACAACACTTTAGTGGCTATGTAGTGTTTCCATTGGATGAAGAATACGACTAAAGGAAAGAAGGGTGTCATGGCTCTGAAACTCAATATGTAGAAGGCCAATGATCGCTTGGAGTGGGATCTTGTTATTGAAGTTATGCCCTCAATGGGATATCCAACAAGCATGGTTAATCTTATTAGGAACTACATCGCTTATGTTTCTTACAAAGTGTTGGATAATGGACATTCGAGTCCGTCTTTCACTCCGAAGAGGGGTCTCCGACAAGGAGACCTTCTCTCACCCTATTTATTTATCCTGGGAGTTGATGTCCTTTCGGGTTTGCTGAATCAGGAGGCTCATATGAAGAGGATCCATATTATCTACATTGTGAAGAAGGCCCTTGTGATCACTCATTTATTTTTCGCGGATGACAACTTACTTTTTACCCGAGCAAATTATTAAAAGGAGGACCGCATTCTGAAAATCCTTAATCAATACCAGCTCTCATCGGGGAAAGTGGTTAACCATGATAAGTCGAAGGCATCTTTTAGCTGAAATGTTAGGGAGGAAGATAAAGTCTTAATTCGTTCAAGGATGGGAGTTAAATTAAAATTGTCTTGAGTCACTCTAAGTGTCTGGGATTGTCGGTGTTATTTTTGGGAGATTGAAAAAGGATATATTTGTGTTAGTTATTGAAAGGGTGTGGAAGAAAATCAAAGGGTGAAAAAGGAACTTTTTGTCTAGAGTGGTGAAGGAGATCCCAATTAAAGTTGTTGCCCAGGAAATTCTGAATTACATAATGAGCTACTACAAGCTTCCTGAGACAACATGCCATGAGATTGAAGTAATGATGACTAAATTGTAGTGGGGTTCCAAAATAGGGAATTAAAGATCCATTGGTTGAGTTGGGAAAAGATTTCTATTACTAAAGGAGCTGGGGGGAATGGGTTTTCAGGGCATCGGTGAATTTAATACTAGCCTCCTTGGAAAACATTATTGGCGTCTGTTGTCGGGTGGCAACACTCTAGTGGGGAAGGTTTTCAAAGAAAGGTATTATACTAGGAGCTCCAGTGCAAAGAGTTCTATTAGCTTTTCTCCTAGTTTATTCAAAGAGGTGCGACATAGAGGATTGGAAATGGCGAAAAAGTGTTTATTTGCAAGGACAGCTGGTTCCTAGAAAATGTAGGTATTAATTTCATTGGAACTGTGAGAGATCTTGATAGGGAGGCCAAAGTATTAATATCATCCTCAATCCTTAGCTATCAGAATCCATATGTGTTGGATATAAATGATTGGTTGTTGAGTCTGTTGACCTGTGATGATCTGCTGAGTGTCCAATTGGTTTGTTCTCTGCTTCATAAGATTTGGATTGCTCAAAACTTGTTGATGTACCAGCACAAGATTTCAAACCCGATTACGGTAGCTGAAGATGCCCTAGCCAGCACTCTAGAATTTAATAAGTGGAACCCCTAGGTTGGTGCAAAGGACAAGCGGGTCATTATCTAGTTGGACGCTAAGATATTTGTTGATTGTATTAATTCGGTCTTAGGTAATGCAGTTCTCAAACCCATTGCAGAAGATTGTAGAGTTCTCCTTAGGTGTTTTCAGTTAGGATCTGTTATGTTTATGAACAAGTTATTTAATGTTGACGCCCAGAATTTAGTTAGGTTGGAGAAACTGTATGGATCTAAAACTTGAATTGACACTACTACAAAAAACCCATTTAACAACGGTTGATAAATATATATAATCACTCAGGACTTGGCGTTGTTGTGTAGAATGTTGTTGTAAATTTGCTACTAACGATCACGATCCTGGGATCATTGTAGTATACTAGTAAGCTCGCGTGATATCACAACGGTTATGTTTATTAACCATTGTGATATATAAGGTATTGGGTTCGAAACCCAACAACAAATAAATTATATTAGATCACAGTTAATATAAAAAAATTGTTGTGAAACGTACCCATATTTTATTAAATACAAATGTATGTTTCTTGTTTTACCATACACCTCATTAAAGAAATACAACCATTAAAACTGGTAAAGAATTATATAATCTGAAAATTAAACTATTCTTGAAAACCAACTTAAACACACCATTGTATTCAGCATTACATGCATCTCATTCAGCACATTTTATGTTCATTAACACATATATGGTTCAATGGTCGGATTTATTCAATACATCAATATCTTTTATTATTGTTTACCTCATCATCGTCGCTTATCATTGTGATTGTTATGATGACTTATCATCATAACAATCGTGATCTTAACAATCACGATGATAAGTGACGACAGTGAGGTAAATTAGAATAATAGATATCGATGTATTATAGAAATCCGACCTTTGAACCATATATTATGTGTTAAAGAACATAAAAAGTTGCTGAATGAGACACATGCAATTCGGAATACAATGATTGATATAGGTTGGTTTTCAAATACATCTTAATATTCAGATTATAGTTTCTATGTCAATTTAAATGGTTGTATTTTCATTAAAAGGTTAGTGAAACAAATAATATACATAGTATATAATAAACTATAATTCATCTTGACATGTCAATCTGTATAAGAATTTAAAGAACAAAATATTGCTAAGTCACAAAAAGCTTTTTTCTTATGAGTTAAAAATGTTTTATTCTTGTTTTGAGAATATTTGTCAACAAAAACATCATACAAAAACACAACAAATACATGTAACACAATAAAAACAACATACATTTTAGCAACAAAAGACTAACAACATACAATATCACAAAATATATTAAGTTGTTTATAGAACCCACGTTTTATTGAAAAAAAATCGTGGATCTATAAAGTTTATCTAGTTTGTGAAGAAATGAAAAAGAAATACAAGGTGGATGAAGTTTCCACAACGACTTCATACTTCTTATATTTTTTTCAGTGCTACACAAATCATATGTACCATTATCAACTCATATTATACGCTTTCTACCACCATCATCATCACCATATGAGGTTCATCTAGTTTATGAAGCCATGAAAAAGAAATATAAGGTGGATGAAGTTTACACAATAGCTTCATACTTCTTATATTTCTTCTCATAACTTCTCAAACTAGATGAAGTTTGTTGTTGTTGTTGTTTCTTAAGTCCTACAAACACCATACATTAGTGAAGGAAATACTTTTTACATCGGGAGAAAAGTACATTTTACATCGGGTCCGGGTCTGATATAAATCCAAGCTATGTAGTAAATCAAAGACATTTTACGTTGAGCAACAACCCGATGTGAAAAATACACCTACTACATCAGTTGAATGTTAGGTCTGATGTGAAAAAATACAATTTTAAAAAAAATATATGCAATATTTTACATAGGTCGCCTAACTGGCCCGATATAATATATGGGTTTTAATATCGGTTGCCTCAACGGCCTGGTGCAATATATAAGTTTTCACATTGGTGGCCTTAATGGCCCGATGTAAAATGTTTGTTTTTTTTTGTAAATTTTTTTACTATTTTTTAGCGGATTTCGTGTAATATTTTTTGGTACCTAATTTTGGATAGTTTTCCAACATCACATATACCATATTTACGTCTCTATATTCATATTTTTTTAACCAACCTAATTTCATTCCACCAAATAGCTAGGATGCACATATATATTCTTCAAAATGAACAATTGATTTACAAAAGTAATAGTCTAATATATACACAAGTGTATAAAATTATAAGGAAGTTTACACGGTAGACTACAATAAAAAAATATACAAAAATATCCAACCATTTATATATCTTTACCCACACGTTAATTACCAATATGAAATCCACAAGTAGATTAGTTTTAGACTTGGTAGACAACATCAAAATCACATTGGCTGACAATAAATAATAACACCAATTAACATAAGTAGACAACACCAAAGTCAAGAAACTCAAATAATATATATATATATATATATATATATATATATATATATATATATATATATATATATATATATATATATATATATATATATATATATATATATATATATATATATATAGAGAGAGAGAGAGAGAGACAATTCTATATAACTCACCAAATGAATGACATAATTAGTGAATACTTATCATAAAATTAAATATATAATTATAATTTACATCACGCTTACATTAGGCTGAAGTCATGTAGCCTTTTTTCTATTGCTATTTGTCATTTGATGAATAGGGATGTCAGTTTGGACCTGTTAATGGGGATTCCCGCGGGGAACGCCCCGTTCGGGGCCCCAAAGATGGGGAATTTTCCCCCGTGGGGGCGGGGATGGGGAGAAAAATTCCCCCGAGAGCATTTCGGGGACGGGGACGGGGAATACACCCCCCGTCCCGCGGGGACCCCGCCCCGCGGGGACCCTGCCCCGCCTATTATTTTAATATAGTTAATTTAATATATATATTTTAGATTAGGTTTTTTAGTCATTTCCTTTATGTTTATTTATAAAAATAAATAAATAAATATTCATGTATTTATTAAGAGAGAGAAATGTAAATATTAGACCCTAAAAAAGTTGAAGCGTTTCATTTTCTTCTGCCAGACATTTAGAGTCTCACACGTTAGACTCCTTTTTTTCTTCTCCAGTCAAATCTCCATTCATCTTCCTCTTCCAATTCCATCTTCTCTATTTGGTGTGCTTCCATTATTCACAGCTCTTACAATTTCATCAATAAGGTTTGATTTTCATAAATTTGTTCATGTAATTATTTATAGGAAAAAATAGATTATTTCTCTTTGATTCTCATAAATCTGTTTATATTATTGTTTATAGAAAAAAGTAGATTGTTTCTCCTTGATTCTCATAAACCTGTTCATGTAATTGCTTATAGGAAAAGTTGATTATTTTGATTAAATTTAAATTAAATTGTTTAGAAATTTTAGAGTTATCAAATCATTTGCATATTAAAAAAATATAAAATAATCAAAAAATTACTCATTTTTATCTCCTTTTAAATATTTTTGTGTTCATTTTTTATCTATACTATGCATTTGTAATTAAAATAATGTCGTCAGTTTTTCCTTAAAAAATATTAAAATATACTTTTCCTATTTTTTATTAATATATCACACTATAATTTAATTTTCTATATTAAACAAAAAAATATTACTTTTTAAATGAATCAATATATCATGCTATCACGGTATCACCCATAAAAAAAACCAAATATCTTATATTTCTAATTATTAATGAAATAATAACATATAAACAATAATATATCATGCTATCACCCATAAAAAAAAAATATATCTTATATTTCTAATTATAAAACCAAAGCCATTAAGTGAAATAATAACATATAACTTTTTACACGAGTAAATATATCATGTATATAGGTAAATAAATGTATTCTCAATGTATATAATTAATTAATATATGTTATTATTTCTAATTGAAAAGTTACAGTAAATAAGGCATATTTAGAAATATGTGTAATGCATCATATATTTAGA